CGTCAAAATTCAAAATGCGACGGTCTTATTTGAAAGAGGGTGAGGTGCAGCTTACAGCGTTGAATTCGTTGCTCACACAGTCACGATACTTGTTTCTTTTTTCGGATCTCCTTCTAGTAGCAAAACAAAAGTTTGTTTCTTTTCACCTGTTTTTGCTACCACTTTTATATTTCTTCAACGGCTTTAAGCACTGAAAAACATGGCAGAATTTGTAAAGAAATCATGCGTATACCGGCGGTACACTTTTTGTTGGTCTCTGTACAGTTGTTTTCACCCCAAGTTAGGTATACTGAAATTTAAACAAACAGATACAATCTGATTATTTCAAATGATATTTTTTTGAATGCACCCAAGCAAAACCTGTAGTGTCAACTTGCCAAATAAGAATAACAGGTGATAGAACTATTGTTGAACTACCGCAGCGCGAGTACTGTTTAAGTTCTTCAGGAGAAGTAAAGCATCACTCGTTTATTTTTCAAGAGTACCAGAGTAAAATTTTTGACAGTGAACGAAAAAGGCTTCAAAATACAAAGACTGCTATTATACAGGAGACTCAAAAAGAGAAAAATTAGCTACAAAGAAATCAATAATTAAAGTAAATGCTTTTTTTTTGAAATTATTTCCTCATAGAAGTTTATAGTTTGAGCATAATACAACGAGCAAGTGCGTTAATAAAAAATGTTGTATTACAAAAAATTAGGTTCAGTCACCATAAATCTCAAAAAGCTTGATTATTATTACCTTGTCTTTTAACAAATGTGTTGTCAACTTAACAGTTTTAGCCATTTGGAGGTCAAGGGTTAAAATTTAATAGCTTTTAAAAGTCACTTTGCCCAGTCAAGTGACTGTGACTGAGGCAACCATCGCATTTGCTTAAGCAACCCCAAGCAAGGTTATAAAATTTGTGGAGAATGCAAGGTAAGCGCGGAGTTAACTGTCTCATTTGTAGGAAATCGGAAAAACTTTTTAGCAAACAACAGTTTTGAAGCTCCAGTACGGTGCATTGGTTTGCCGTGAGCTAACAGCATTAGATCCAGAGAATAGAGTAATTTTTACAACCAATAATGCCCTAAAACCTTGTCATCCATCCTTACACTGTTTTTTAGTACGCAACGCACCATACTTGACGCCTTTTTCATTTGATAACGATACCATTTTACCAACTGTAAAACATTTTGACAAATTTTTGAGAAAAATTTCGGGAAACTGTATGGAACATACATGCTATACACTGCTTTTAAGCTTAAACTTCTGTTCATTTTGTAGCATAACAAAAATTTTCTGAACCTTTTATTAATATCCTATTAAAAAATAAGCTGTCTCTATTGACGTTTTTTAGAGCTGAAAATAGCTATAAACTAAAGGAAAAAGTGCGTTTGGACCGGTTATGGGTCGCCTCTAATAACTGTCCCCACTCATTTCTTATTGGGTGGCCTATCTGCAATTATATTGCACATTTTCCGTATGCTTTCTTCCTTTAAATACTAAATATTTTTACTTTTTTACTCATTTATTTTTTATCTGGTATGTCTAAAGAAAAAATTGATTTTTAAATACTTCGACAAGTTCTTTCTATACCACTTCAAGAGAAATTCAATTACACAAGCAAACATATAGCTTATAACATTCTAATACGACAGCAACAGACTGCTTTTGATCCTACATCGCCAACTTGACAGTTTCAGATCAGAAGAAAAAAAAATGGAATGGCAGGACATCTTAGAAGACAGGATTCAAAAATGTCGCGCCAAAGCGATTCCAAAGTTCACAACCATTCCACTTGCCGTTCGAATTGGTGGACGCAATCAGGTACTTTTGACGCTGCAATATATGGCACCACTCCTTTGCAAATCACTCCTACGATATCCGGTTTTTAGATCATGAAAAAAAAATTGAACATATCACAAACAAGCAGTGAAATACTCGCTCAGCTAGTCAGTGAACTAGGCATCAGTCAGGATATTGAATTAGAGTTAGCATTTGACGGTGGCAATGGAGATGAGCCAACTGTACTACAAGGCCCAGAAGTTGTAAGAACCGTTCAAGATTTATGCACTTACTAAACAGTTTTTGTTGAGTTTAGATCAGATCTAGTTATTTCCTTATTTTTCAATATTCTAACCTCACTTTTATTAGGCTAAATTACTTTGAGAAGGATGACTTTGCAGGTACATTGTATAATAATGGATTTCATTCGTACTACTGGTTATCGACTGTCAGAGAAACAGCTTGAACGTTTGGATACATTTCCATTAGTCAACTGTAAACTCGTGCTTTTCTCATCCAATTCTCACAAGTCAAATGCTGCTCAAACTCTTGTCACACATTTTAAGTAATCTTTCAAGTCTTTCAGAAATTTTATGAATGTTGCAAAGCGACAAGGAATGTTGCCATTGCGCATACTTAAAACAATAAGAATCTTCTAGAAAACCTAATTAAAACAATAAACCTTTTGTAGTTCCCAGTCGGTCGGTCGGAATGCCATTATTGGGAACACAATAGGCTAACCATTTACGTAATAACTTATCATTGAACAAAAGCCTATTTAAGCAAAGTGTTGAAACATTCCTACGGATACATTTACGGAAACATCAATAGTGTATTTTACCTTCTATGGAACGCCAGTTGCAGCAATATTATTGATTTCTTATTGCTTTCTTATGCTAGTGACCAGTATACTTTACAGTGGTAACTAATTCTTTGTTCCTAAAATAATACTCATGTATTCCCTGATATCCTCTTTTCTTCATAAAAACATTTTTAATTAAATATAAAAATGTAATACTTCTTACTGAGTAGACTAACCTGATGTAGATATTATTTTTTGGCTGTAGGGGGAGTCTATTTAGAGAATAATGTCAACTGTGATCAAAGAAAGTATTACATTTTTATATTTAATTAAAAATGTTTTTATGAAGAAAAGAGGATATCAGGGAATACATGAGTATTATTTTAGGAACAAAGAATTAGTTACCACTGTAAAGTATACTGGTCACTAGCATAAGAAAGCAATAAGAAATCAATAATATTGCTGCAACTGGCGTTCCATTGAAGGCGAAATACACTATTGATGTTTCTGAAAGTGTATCTGTAGAAATGTTTCAACATTCTGCTCAAATAGACTTTTGTTTAATGATAAGTTATCACATAAATGGTTAACCTATTGTGTTCCCAATTGCGACCGACCGTTTGGGAACTGAAAAAGGTTTATTGTTTTACTTGGGTATTCTAGAAAATTTTTATTGTTTTAATTATGCGCAATGGCAACATTCCTTGTTGCTTTGCAACAATGAATACTGTTGATATAAGCAGTAAACAGCTATAGTCATTTGAGCCGTAGAGTACGGCTCAGATTTAATGTTGGCATAAACACCTTGTGTTTAGGAGAGTTCTAAGTAGGACTGAAACAAAACGCTTTTTTGGGCGGCAGCTAGATGGCTCATGCCCGCCCCAACCGGTTTTAACCATGATGGATCACTTGCTCGCCAACGGCGTAAATACTGAGGGTCTTTTCCGGAAGTCTCCAAAGCAAACGACAGTCCGCTTGCTAAAGGTCTGTAAAAATTCAAATGAGTCATCTTTTGGTATCGTTTGGTATAATATTCACAAATCACTATTATTACCAACTCCTCTGCAAATTTTATGCAGAGCATCGATACATTATGATGACTAAAAAACCATAATTTTATTAAATAAATGTCTTTAAAAAAAACTTTTAAGGCTCAGTTGAATCGTGGGTCTGTGCCGGATTTTACTCAGTTCAGCCCGCATGTGACTGCGGCAATTTTAAAGGTTAGGATCTTACAAACTACTGTTACGGAAAACACATTTCTTAGACCATTTCTTTACTTCTAAAACTATTTTAAAGAATAAAAAGTTTCTTTAAAAAGCTTGTAAACTCGAAAATTTGAAATTAGATTTATATTTCTATTTAAGGAATACCTGCGATCAATACCAGGAAAATTACTCCAAACATGCGATTTAAATATGTGGATAGCTGCAATTGAAAGTGACGGCGCTGAACGTATTGCTCAGATCAAAGGGTTCCTCCAGCTGCTTCCATCTTCGCACATTGTGCTTTTGTCTTCATTGCTTCGGGTCCTTAGAGCAGTAGCAAAAAGTCCAAGCTCAAAGATGAACGCGCAGTCCTTAGCAGTTTGTATAGCACCTAGTCTCTTGGACAGTCCAAGTTAGTGTCTCGCTTTTACCGTAAAATTAAAAGCTATTCTGGGTATTGACTCAGGTGACAGCAGTGGCGGCTTCATCGTTTTTAATTAGTATTTACAACACATATTCTAAAACGTTTATAATTTTATATTTTTGTTGCAGAAGTGGAATGTGCAGCTCGTAGATTGCCTCAAATAGCTGAATGGCTAATACTCAATGCGCCATTACTTTTCGACGATTTCACGGACGCTCAGTGTGATATGTCTTCATCAGCTTCAAATGACTCAGGTAAATAATTACCAGGAATCAGTAAAGCGGCAGTATAGAGAATGGTGCTTTTAGATGTTGCTATCGCTGCGTAGTGTATGAGCAAAGCAGACTCGCTACTGATGACAATAGCTCACTAATGTATCAATTATTTGTGTATCAAGTTTTAGGTCTATCTGACGTTGAGGCAGGTGTGGAAGCATCTGCAAGCCCTGAATTTACAGAAACCTACATAATCAGTACGCCTGCGTCATCTGTTGGTTCGGCGAATTCTTCACCTGCAATACGGTGCAAAGTTCAGGAGCTCAAAATGTCACCACCAAGTTACTGTAGTAGTAACTTGTCGACAGATGATGAGCTTGATGTGTGCACCGAGATCGAAAAGGATGATGAAGATAGAACGCCAGTTTTATCGCGTGAAAACTCTAGCGTTGAAAAAAAACCGATTGCCTATATTGAATGGAAACCAGCAAAACGGTATTTGACATAAGCATTTCACTATACTTAATTAACAACTTTATCATAGCTTAATATAGTCTTAGAGATACTTACTGAGTGGTCTCTCGGCAAACAAAAATGACAAGTTTTAATGATAATAGTAAACTTTCGTTTCATCGCTTGTTTTTGAATAAAAAAGTTGCAGAGAGTTTGTAGCTGAAAAATACCAATTTTAGCGAACGGTTCTTGGAGAATAGTGACAGTGATTCCAAATGGAAAGAAAATAAAGTGCTGAAACGACGAGAAACCGTTGGTGCTCTTTGTAGAACACCAAAAGCTGCTGGGGAAGACGAATTCCACAATTTGACCTCCTTAGTTCAGCACTGTCGTGCAAAGCTTTCTATGTCTATAACGCCAATTATTTCTTCTGAAGATGATTGCAAGGTTCTTGTTTCTGATCTTCATCTCTGTCTTTGTCGTGAGCTCTATTAAATAATATTTTTGGGTCCAAAGTACCCTTAATTTATTTTCAGATTGCCGTCAAGAGTTTACCTGTTATTCCTGTTTATGTTGAAAGAGTTACTGCGGACAACGATAATAATAAGAATGCAGTTTTTAAATCTGATCACCCAAAACTACAGCTTGCAAAACCCTTTGATGAAGACTTCATCGTCACTCCTAACGCACAAAAAGCTATTGCTTATCATCAGTCCGAAAAAATTAAAGTTAATGACACAAAACTAAGTGAACATACCAGGAAGGCTGTGCAGCTTTCAGGTGCAGAAAAACCACCCGGCGTTGAAGGAAATCTTTCTCCAGTATCTGAAGAAAGGTCTCAACCAATTTTAAAGATAACAGTAGGCAGCATAAAAAAACCACATCTAAAAGTGGCTTCGCAAGAAGGAAACAAAAATTCTTGTGACTCCGAATACGGCTCTGGCTTCAGGCAAAAGAAGCGCGAGCATAACAGAATTAGTTTACCAACATCGTCAGCGCCCTGTAGGACAGATTCAAGCGCAAACAGTCTTACTCACTCTCCTAAAGTTGACTTTCGAGTTACCAGCGGTAGTCCAGCAACAGTAATACAACATCCAATTGCTGTAACAAAATCTTTGCCTTGTAATCTTAAAGGCCAATATTCGGACATTAGACAGTGGCCATCAACTTCGAAGGCGTACGAAGAATTTGTCAATGCGGACGCGAAAGCTACTAACGAGGATGACAGCGTCCCTGCCTGTTCTGCTAGAAGTCCTGATAGTTCTAAAGCGCTCAGCGCAAATTCATTTAAATCAATAATAGCTGAAAGTAAAGTATCTCCAAAAGCAACAAGGAAAATGACTCCAGTTTTGCAACGCTTAAAGAATAGATCTTCTGGTATATCTGTTAACCAAGTACAAGTACAACAAAGCTCAAATACTGCACAGTTAGAAGTGGATTTTGATGTTAAGATTCGAAATGATGAAACATCAAAGAATAATATAAGGCATACGGCATTTACAAGTGCCAGTGTACCATCGCCATCGTCTTCTTTGACAATTAATCTGCCGTTATATCGACCGACAGAAGATAAAAACAAAACACAAGATACAGCAAAGTCGATTTTTGCTGAACGTAATAACGCATTGATTTCTACTCCAGGTCCTGAAAAACAACTATCAAATGGAACTTCTGGAAAGCATATTTTATTGCACCGAATCAGTGCACAACCAGAGAGAAATAACGCATTGGGACAAGACAGAAATGACGGTTCCCGGAAGGAACGGAAGAAAAACCGAAGCATCTTAATGGATCCACTGGAAGTTAATTGGTCTGTTGATGAGCTACGACAGAAGTTTCAAGCTGAAGGCGGACCGCCATCACTAAACACCGAATACAGCCCAACTGTACTTCATTGACTCTCGCTAAAACGGAAGTATGAAGGTGCAATTGCCGCCTTTCGCGTACAGTAAAGTACAAGAAACGATAAGGCAAGCGTTTTTGGTTTTCAAATTATTTTTCTTTCGATTTATGAATTCCACTGTTGTTATCACTTATGCTGTTCGTATAACTTTTCAAATAGTTGCTCGCTATAACTCTTTAAATTCATAGTTTTGAACTTTAATCATGACTATTTTACAATACGTGGCTTAATGGACAGCCGCCGAGCACAGATCTAACCATATGACCAAAAAAATTTGCTCTGTGTTCCTGTTAATTTTTCTTTTCCTCTATTTGTTTTGATGCTATTTTTGCCCTGTAACTATTAGATGACATTATCAGTAGAAACGGTGTAATTTGTCAATTACGTTGTCATTTGAAAACTCGAGAACTTGTCAACCAAAAGAATCGTTTTTTACTTCTCATCCCATTCTCTCTTCCTCAGTCTGTTGAATTCATTCTTTTAACCTATTTGGGCAGTGGCTGAATATTTTAAAGCGTTTTTACCGCCATACAATTGAATAGCAGAACTGAAGTAGACTTTACTGCAAGTATTCGATGAACAGAATGAGCGCACTAGTAAGGGGACTGAAGTTGGTCGTAAAAAATCAAGAAAAACTTACTTATTCATCAATTTTTTGAGTGCGCTTTTCACCTTGATATTTTTATTCGCTTCTCTAAAAACCTCTATTTATTTTATTTTTATCAAATAAAAGAATAAAAAACAAAGTAAAATACCATTTTTTTTTAACTTACAGAAAGATTTCTCAAATTTAACAGCAGAATTATTATCAATATCTTGTAGAAGAATCAGAATTAAAATTTGATCTTACTGAGCGGTTAATCTGGCTTTTTTCTTGGTCCCAAGCGTTTGTTATCGCTGATAGACAACGAAAGGAATTTTTGATTCACTATATGATCGCATGTTTATTTCTAAACTCTTTCAGCAAAGGTGTATTTAATTGAACTTCTGCAGTATTTCAATAAAAATATCTTTACGAGAACAGTGAATGAATCTACAATAAAAAAAAGTACTCTGAAAAATACCAAATATAGAACTGGTTGTAAAGTCTCCATTGATTCACAGCATTAATGTTTTTTTGTGGTTGATGTCACATTGACTAATTGTTAATTTATAATTGTTGTTGATTTGGTAACGTACTTAAATAACGTTTTTAAATAAACATTTATTTTTCTACTGTGTCTTCTAGCACCCATATTTGCCAGGAAATAAAAACAATCAAAAATCTGTTCTTTGCACTGTATCAGTTTAGAACTCAGTTTGGTCAATACTTGGCTCCTAACTGTAAATTTAGACAAATATAAATTTTTGACATATTTACTTACTTAAAAATCAAAATTACGCAATCAAATGAGGTGGGAAAATTTGTGAAACCGCTTAGAACAACTTTGATACTTTTGCTAAAAACCACATTTTGTTTGAAAATCTCAAAACAGACTCTCCAGAGCAAAATTACTTTTTCAAGAAGTACAGAAATAATCTTTATATCGCAAGAAAAATTGAAATTTATTGCAGCAGTTGTTCATAACAACTATGCAGCAGTTCGTCTTTTCTACTTATAAAGTTAACTGTCGTCTAAAATGTAGACTGTTAAAATGCGTCAATTCATTCTAATTTGCCCACTTTTTGCAACAAATGCTTAAGAATTTTTTTCAAAGTTTACAGATTAAGACAGTCTAAGCCTGGAATAAAAAAGTGAAGAGCAGGCTTGAAAAGTTGAATTTCTGTCAAGTTATGCTCTCTGAAAGTTGAAAAATTTGCCAGTTTCTACTCGGCAAGCTTAAGACTTGCAATCTGTCTCAGCTTTGAATCGGTTCGACAGTTTTAAACCCATTACAGTTTTCATGACTATTGCTATTGAAAACATATTACAAGTTACAGTTTTTTTAAAGTAGTTAGATAGAAACAGTACAAAGAAGTTTAGAAAAATATTTTAAAAAGTATGTTTTTAACTTTTATACAAAACCATTTTGTGTCGAATTTCCTTATTTGGAACATAACACTGTTCCAGAACGAAATACTAACAAATTTGAGAACGACGAGCCTGAAAAAACTGCGAGGCTAAAAATAATTCTACTCATTTTACACAGGTGAAACCGTTTTTTACCGTTTCTGTTAACCAGAAAAAAAATCTGCCAAAAGCTGTCACATTTTAATCGCTGAAAACTTGTTAAAAAAATTTACATTTTGCAGAAATATATCTACTAATTGATATTTCATAGAACTGTAACCACTAGTCTTTATTTCATCGTCTTTTATCGTCTTTTACTCATCGTCTTTTTTTACCAATACTTTGCAGCTAGCAAATATTATGGAGCTGCAAAGAGGTCTAGAAACTTCCTACTTCAAGTAGAAAGGTGCATTAAACAACTAATTTTTGAAGCATATGATGGCTTCGCAAGTTGGAGCATATGATTCTGCGAAAAAACCTTTAGTTCAACTCAGATTTAATTAAACTTTTAAAATTCGAAAAAGTGGATCAATGGTACAATTTTTACAGCTTTTTACGAACCTTCAGACGCCAAATTGGGTCTTTTTGCATTTCATGGTTTCATTTATTAAAAAAATTACTGCTGTATAAAGTCTGTGCCACATCAAGCATTGCCAATGCTAAACTTTTTGTGAGCTAAACGTTTCTTTTTGATCATTTCAGAAGAACACATTATATATCATATACAAAGCAGAATATTTTGAAATAAAAGATATTGATTACAAGTGTACAGAATTAAAAATCTTTTTTTCTGTAAAAATTAATTTTTTTTACCAAATTTTAATAACTGAAATATGTATTAAATTTTGACAACTAATCTGCATAGCTTTTTAAGGCAGATGAAGACGTCACAGTTGAAAAGTGCGTAGGGTTACTTTGAAAGCAATAAACCGTTGTCAGTCTTACATATCACTCTGGGTCGTAAATTTCAAACTCGTCAGTGTGGCACCACAAATGTGGTTTATTTTATAAACCAAAAAATTCGACACAAAATATTCTTTTAATTTGAAAGTGCATTTTTTAAAATGCTTTTTGAAACTTTTGATTTTATTGTATCTATCTAGCAGTTTAAGAAATTGTAAGTTATAGAATGCTTTGAAAAACAGAAATTATGTAAAGTCTAAAAAATTAAAAAATGATAAACTTACTAAAAGTTAAGATAAACCACAAGCTCAAAACATCGGCTTGTCGCGCAACCAAACCGACAAGTTTTGAAATCTTAAAGAGACATAAGTTAAAAAAAATCTGGCTTTTTCAAACCCACTCTTTAGTTTTTCAAAGCTGAGCTTAGACTGTATCATGTTGCGAACTTTAAAAAAATATTTGATTGTCGGTTGAAGGACTGTGCGAACTGAAATGAAACAACAACCTAAGCATGCATGTCTAGTGATAAACAAAAACTGCTTTGTTTGCATTAAAGTCTTTCAAGTCAAAGCATTTGCTGCTTTCCAAAAATCACAAAAACTTTTCTGTAATTCAAGACAAACGTAACTGTTAGTGCTCTGATAGCAAATGTTAACTTTGTAATCAGTGTCAGGTTTCAATCAGAAAAGAAATTTCGGTATAGTTTTGTTTATTTATCCATACACGGAACTGTTTGAAATGCTCAGAAGCACTTATCTGTTACAGTCATATATTTTATGGTGCTAGCTTAGAACCGTAACTAGCTTCTTTGATTGCTAATTTTTTTGCTTTACTGTGGGGCTGCAATCTCTTTCGCAAATTTGTAGCAATGCACCGACTCCTTTAAAAAAACTGTTTTTGCAGATACAAAATTTGGTTACGGCAGATTCGTTTAGGAGCTGAAAAGCGAAGTATATATATAATAGCGCTTTAGAAGAAGTAGCTTTGCAGACAGCAATAAGACAAATTGAAGCATTTTGATGTGTTGATAGATCCCAATCTAAAAACGTCATGTCTCAGGAAAATATTTGTGAGCAGAGGGCTTCTGCGCGTGCTGTTTTCTCGTTTCAGAGTGCTTTTTTCTGTGAATAAAATAACGCAATTTTTCTGAAATAATTTGAGAAATGACAAAGTTCGGAAGCTTTTCAAGTACTGTAATAATTATAATACTGACACTTAAAAGCACCTCTGTTTTGACTAGTAAGCCTTACTTGTTTTCTTTACTCAAAACTACTGCAAGCTAAGAGCTTAGATTTCACTTGACATCACAGTAGTGACAAGAAAAAATGATACAGAACAGTCTTTTTTTGAAAGCCTGCTAAGTGCAAATGTTCAGTTTCAGGTGCATAAAAACATCAGAATTCATCATTGCAGAAATAACTTAAAGCAAATTGTTAGTTGATTTTTTGTTCTATAAAAAAAATTTTACTTTTTTTTCACTTTGAAAATGTTTTATAGCCTATAAGCAGATCTTGATCGAAAAAATAAATTTTGAGGGAAGATGAAAAACGGCTATCAAAATCGTTTTTTGTTTCGAACATATGTTCAAGAATTTAGATGTTCAATAAAGTATAAAAGAAAAAAGTCAGATAAACTTGTTTCAAGAAACCATTGGTTAAAGACGTGGTAGGAGAAATTCTGCAGTTTCCAAAAAATATTTTGTCACCTCCAAGCTACATTGGTAGATAAATGTATCTTTCCATTTCGCTGGTGATTTAACTATAATTTCTTTGTCAACAACCACTTAACCACTTTGAATATGAATTAAACTCTCAATTTTATAGAACTTATAGCAAAAAGTTTTGAAGCGAGCTTACACAGCATGTTTTTTTCCTAATACAAATGTAAACATATTAAACCATTCATATTTGCAGATTTAAGCCTCAATTGCCTTTTTGAATACATCTTCTTCTCAAATTTTTCCCTACTTCCAAAGCTAATCGCTGTCACATTCTCTGTCGTAACGTTTCACTACTAGTTATTTTAAATGTTGATCCACACTACCATGCTACCTTGAATTGTCAAAAGTGAAAATGTTTTTTTGATACATGGCATCACGAAGTATATATGAAAAAGTGTATATAAAATAAGCACCAATTATCTACTGACACTAATCTGTGCAAAAAAATTTACCTGATTTTTGCTGATGTTGAGTCTATTAGTTAGTCTTAAAGTCTAAAACCATTACGAAAAATATTTTTTAGTTAACTATAGCTATACCTAGTTGAGACTACAGTGACCTCACTGCATTAGCAAGCTCATGTGGTGGAAGTAATGTATGTAAAACGAAATTTTTTCGCTTGTAAGTTTTTAAAAAAAAGCAGTTGAGCGACAGCGAGAGCCGGTAACATAAAGTTTTACATCTTTTGTTGGAGATAGTCCAAAAAAAATCTTATTTTTTTTAGAAATCTTAAGAATCATAAAACAAATTAACCTAATTTGTTTGTTTAGATCAACGCCGTTCAGCTGCGAATGTCGACAGTATCAAGAGGACTATCATATAGTAAAAGATTTACATCACATATTAGTCATAGTAACAGAAGAAACCAAATTGAAAGTTTCAGCTAACTTTATTGCATATAGGATTATATAAGTTTTAACAGTGTAATGTTTTAAATTAAAGATGAAGTTTGTCGCAAATTGCAGCTACTGCTTTTCTGTTACCCAACCACACCAAAGTTTATTTTTCTGCTGCAAGTTCAAACGTAGAAATAAAACCTTAGAAGTCAACTTAGTTAATGTCTTTAATAGTCTTAGTTTTGTAGAAAACATTTATGTAGAGTAGAAAACCGTCTTGAACACCGTCGCTAAAATGCGTACAGTTCAGAGTTTTCAAAAGCATTTTAGCGCATCAAAGTGTAAGTTTCGCTCTTTGTAAACTAGACGTTGCAAGAGTGAAAAAGCAAATGTGCCATTGGTTCTGTTGTACTTTGAAACTTTCTTCAAATCCTTATCATGTTTTTTCACTCTACTCACCTCTTGAAAACATTTCTAAATTTTTTAAGTTTTTTTCTTTCTCGAGACATAAAAATCGAGCAGAACAAGAAGAAAAACCTAGAGAGATGTCGCAAGAAGTTCAAGTTACGAGAAGTTTAAATAAATTGAGAAAAGCAGAACCAAAGATCTAAAAAGTGTTGCTAAATATTAAGCATACTTGCTAAGAAGCCGTTAAAAATTGAGAAGAACGATCAGGTAGCCTAATTCACTTAAATAACCGTAATCGTGTGCTTGTAAACAAAAAGTTGGCTTAAGATATTTTGACATTAGGAAACTCTGTCCAGCATCTGCTTATCAAAGTCTGCCAATTTAGCCGTCTTCTTGCCTTCTTCAACAGAATTTGTCGTCTGATTGCAGTTTTGACCCAGTCTTATGTACGGGTAACCAGGTAACCTTTACGCTTAATTTATACGTATATTTAAAGTCGTTTCTTCCAGAAGTTCTAACACTAGACATAACCAACTTACATTCACATACTGCTGAAAGTGTTAAAACTTGGCTAACAGCGTAAAAAGAAAAGTTCGCTAGCAGACTTCAACATTAAAAAAAGAAACGCAACTGCTTCAAGTGACAATTCCTTCTCGAAATTTTAGAAACAGCTTCTTCTTTTTAAAGTTTCTTTTAGAACGCTCTCTACGGTCACTGTAGTCTAATGCACCAGTTAAAAAGAAAAATCCTTTGTTAAAGTGCCCGGTTACCTAGCTGCAGCTGCTATAAAACTAGCGGTTCTGTTTAACTAAGATAAAAGCTGACCACATTTGCAAATTCCGGGAAAAAGGGATGAGGGGGAGAAGAAAGGCGGAGAAAAAGTGAAAAAGAGAAAATAAACCCAAACCAAATTTTAAAATATACTGTCAATAGTACAATAACCTTTCTAAAAATGTAAAAGAAATTACTAGAAAATATCACTTTGCAGAACATAGTACAGTCCAACTTTCAACCTCCACAAGATCCTCAAAAATGCAATTTTGGATTAAGAATGGTAAGTGAGGATGATCACCCAAACGGTTTGAAAAACTGTCCGCTTTCTTTTGATCTAACAAATGTACAGCGCCTATCAAAGTATTAACGGCTGTTTTTTTTTTTTTTTTTTTGGAGTCTTCCACTTCCTTCCTTTGATAATTTAATCAAACCCTTATTTCTAATTTTTGGTTTCGAATTATTTTAAGATGTTGATGTGATAGATTTGAAACACTTTAGATCTTAAATTTTATTCGAAAGAAGTTTTAGAAAATGACTTTTTAAAAGAAGAAATTTGAAGATTAAATGAATTGTTAACCTGAATACAAATGAGGAGTAAGCATTCGTAACTTTTCGTGTAGGCTATACAGAAAGCTACGTATGCTAGTTCAGTCGAAGAAAATTAAAGTAGTGTCAAAGCTTCAGTAATAAAAAAATTAAAAAATTAAATATTAATTGTCGACTGGAAACGGCAAGTGAGCTGAGAATCAGGTTCTAAGAAACTTTCTGCACCTTTATACCATACCAATCTAGGGTGTGAAAAGATTGAGAAAAGGCTGTCTTTAGCCCATTTCTAGGTGATTTGCGTGACTTTCTTTCGTTATTGACTTTCGGCTTCTGCTGCCGCAACTTAAAAACTGCTTTTTCTTTTGAAGAATTAAATTTTTCGGATGACACGCTGCTTGAGAAGTTGACTGCACAGTATTTTCAAAGTCACTTTTTGAAGAAATGGTCTATCTGCAGTAATTTACAGAGAAAAAGCAGTATTCAAGCACGTAGCAAAAGATAAAAGGAATATTCCTTTAAGAATAGTTTTGATGTGTTATACCCAATAAAGAAGACTTAAAGTCTTTTGAATATAGCAATGATTGACCTAAAATTATCTTATTTTATCAATCCATGACGGTATTTACAGCGAAAAAAGCGCTAAATCAAATTCTAGCAGTTGAACGATATCTAAACAGACAGTTGATATATTAATCAAAAAACTAGACTGTCTGATGTAGAATAGTCATCATTACGTCAAACTGCACGCTTTTAATTTCTGCTTTCTCTGATTCTTTTTTCATTCTCAAACTTGATGCAGACTATTTGAAACTAAAGACCCTACACTTGTAAGGGTTGAAGCAGTATCGAAGCACTGTTTGGAATCAAGGTAAGCCTTTACCTTTCAGTTAATCTTTACTTACTCATTAACTTCTCTTATTTCTTGCACCCAGATAAAGTTTCCTTGCCTATTCAAAACTAACGTCTTTTGATGCTGTTAAAATCATTGATAAAAATTCGAAACAAATCTACTTTTTTCAAGAACAGAAATTTACACTAGTTTTGGTTTTAAAAAAAGCTATGTTTACTGTAATTTTTTACTCTATAAGAATACAATCGGCGATAAAATTAGCTCTTCAATAAATTTACGAAAAAGTTTAACATAACGTGAAGACTTGAAATAGTTAGGCAGGGAAACAGTTAGGAGAAAATGAACAAATTTTAGGTTTTTTGTCATTTAGACAGTTCAGCAGCGCTTAAAGTGCGAAAGCGGAAAAAAAAAGTTGGCAAATAATGTAATCTAAAATAAACCCCGGGGTCAAATTTCAGTTTTTGTTAAACATTTGTAAAGGGTGCGTCTATGCTAAAACTCATATTTCGTTTATATGACCATTTCAAGCTATTCAGTATAACGGCTCTAGACGCTTGGTTGACTCAAGAAGCAGATTTATTTTATTGAATTTGTTTTTTGCTTAAACTGACATTGTTCTTTGTCTTTTTTTTTTCTTGACTTTTTATGTGAACATTGAACAGACAGATTAGTTATTTAATTAAGTTTTTTTTTGTTCAACATATAATGTTATCTTTTTTTAAGCAGAACTATAATTGTATAACAGTTTTATAACTAAAATAAAAAACTTTTTTTTGCCGTTTACCACTAATTTTCCCCTGCTTAAAATTTTCAGTCAACTTGCATCCTCTTCTCCGAGTCTGGCGAAATACAAGGGTTAAAACCCTCCGGGGGATGAACGAGGAAAAATTTCTGAAAAACAGAAATTTACTGTTGTGTTGTATTCAGCTGTTCGTTACCTGTGTCACTGTTGTTGCTTTCCTCGATATTCACTTCCGCCTTTGTGCCGTTCAGGATCACTATATTGTTGACAGATCTAGAGCACGTTCTAAAAGATCCAATGATGGTGTTAATGAAAATTCCGCTGACGAAATATCTGACAACGTCTTTGTGGATTCAGTGTCAAAAGTCAAGGTGGTCATATTATTACAAAAAAAAAAAGTATGCAAAAATACTTTCAGTTAGTTGATGAACGCTTTTGATGTATTTCCTGAAAAATTAATTTTTAATCTTGCAAAAACTTTGCTTTTATAGTTGCATTATACCTCTAGCTTCGCCAATGCTACTGTTTACTATAAACATTTTAGATGAGCCTTCTGCTTCAAAAATGCTTTGAAGTTCATGAATACTGCACTGATATGGCTAGCATTGATCGAGGACCTACGGGACCTATAGGACCGCCGGGACCAAGGGGGTAATGTTTTCTTTTCGTTTTTGAACTCTGTGATTTTCAAAAGTTATCTGTTACCAATTTTTCCTCAAAATAAAGTTTAAATAAACCGATAATGTTTGAAATAATTTTTACTGTGCAGTAAAACAGTGATTTTCAAATTTATTTCCTTAGTTAATCAAAAAAACAATTCATTAACTGTTACTTTGATTTAGTAGACCTGGTCAGATGGGACCACCTGGAATCAGAGGACCAATGGGAAAATCTGGAATTCAGGGTCCGCAAGGTAAAGTTCGATCGCTGCTACTAACAATGTAAATGACAACTTGTATCTGTCCCTCCCCACTTGAAGAAAATGTTTTTTATCTGGTTTTTCGAGCAGATAAATTTTTTTTGTGTTAATTATTGGTTGTGGAAAGCGAATGATCAAAACTTCATGTTAAGGGCCACCAGGGCCGCCAGGGAAGTCAGCTGTTTGTTCAGATTGCCCAGTACCAGACGAGTTACTTCTGAAGGCACGTGAGGAATGCCCCAAGGTCTCTATTGGTCGGTTAGAAGACAAATGAAGATTCTTAAACAAATTTTTAGTTATTTCTTCGTCACAGTATTACAGCAAAATGAATTGACAAAGATAGCATTACTACAGAGCCAAAATCAGAATTTTAAGGTCGAAGAAATGCAGTGTCCTGCAGAAGTTTCCTTAGACGGGGATGGCTCGCCACGGCTGGTTGAAAAGCATATTCCGCGCTTTTTAGAACTGGTTAATTTTTTCCATTTGTTTCGTTTTTCAAATAAATCTCAATAGTTTCAATAATTTTTTTTTTTTTCAAACATACAAATGTTTCTTCTTGTTCATGGAAATTTTAGCAGCTTAACTGTTTTTTCTGTCATTTTATAAAGCTTTTGACAACAAAATTTTTTGAATTTGATATGTGATTTAAAAGTTTTTACAGAGATTGGTAGTTGATAATATATATAGACTAGTTTATGATACATTATTTGTTTTGATAGTAGTTTTTAGCAACAACTATTTCCAAGGCAGAATTTAACGATCAGTCAGGATTTTAGATGCTTGACGAAGCTAACTTGACGGATACTGTAGACTCTTGCCTTCGCGTGTGCTTGTCTAATATAACGGACCTTGCCAAAAAACTTACCACCCAGGCGACCACCGACATTTCCTACATCGAAACAGCGATTGCTCGTAAACCAGCTTACACCATTTTTTGTTTCTAAAAATTAATTAATATTAAAATCGATAGCAAAATACCTTCTCATCAAGCGTACAGATGAATGCTTTTCTAGACTGCCAGCTGGAGTCAGTAAACCGCCCAATATTTCATGCTCACGCAAAAACATTTTATGGAGCCTGGATGCGAGACGCTTATCCAAGGGATGGGCAGGTCTGTTGAGACTTCCTCTGTTCCACATGCTTCAAATTTTTTGTCAGTCTTTATCAAAATTTAATTGATTTTTGAAAACGATTAATATGCTTAAAAATCTTAAAAACTTTTTAACAGCTTCTATTTTTAAATCATTGTGCGCTGCTGCGATGTTTTTGAGTAAAAATGACAAATATCATATGAAATGATTTTGGCATTCTTCACGCCGTCAATGCGTCTTTAATTCTTTCTTTTACACGTCGCTGTTATTTAGTAGAAATATTGAACAGTCTTTTCAGCTGCTTTTCTTTTAAAATTCAAACTTCAACAATTTCTTGATCTGCTTTATCACCAAGTGACCAATTTGAAGTAAGCGTTAAAATCTTGTAATGATATTTAAAGCTTATCCAAATTTTTTTAGGAAATGTTGAAGCGTTGGATTGCAAAACATTTTCATGGTGAAACTTTGGAAGAGTATGCTAATGAATCTGATATTCGAAAAGAACTTGTCTATAAAATGTCAGTTGCTTTGTAACAGTAAAAAAATAGGCTAAAGGTTAATCATTTTAAGCTACAACAAGCCATTTATTGTCAGCATTTTTAGACACCAACTACCTTACCCATATGAAGGTACAAATTCAGTATACTTTAATGGTTCATTTTATTATCATCGTTCTGGTTATCCACGAATTGCCAGATATGAAGTCAACACAAAAAGATATAGTGAAGTTAACATTGACGATGCTGCATATCGTGGCAACCAGGTGTTCCAGTTTTTTTTCATTCACTGCTATCAATTCCCGAAAGAAGTTTAGAATGTTGAGCCAAAACCTAGCCAGAAATATGTAAAAACTTTTAAAAAATAAAAACAAATTTTGGCGGATAGAATTTGATTGTTGAAAAAAATTAGAAGTTGAAAGACAAAAAATAAATTACCAGATACTGTATTCCAGTACCTATTTAACACATCGCTCAGTTATTTTGATTTGGCAATCGATGAAACCGCTTTGTGGGTTTTGTTCCACTATGAAGATGCAGACTTTTTGAGCGTCGCAAAACTGGACATCAATAATTTAACAATCTATGATACACGAAATTTAACATTGATAAACCATACTGAAGTTGCAAATGGTTTTGTTATTTGTGGTGTTATTTACTTGGTAAGAAACGTAAAAGAAAAAATCTTGTTTTTTACTAATTTAAAGTAAAAGCACAGAAAATCTGTCATTGGTGAGACATATCCGTCTAAGTTAATGTTAAATTTTATTCTTATGTAATAAATTAAAAACTGAGCAAATTTTTTTTATGATAACGTTAAGTTGAAACTAGTTTAGGTGGCCAGCTCCTATGAGTCACGCAGTGAAATTATTGTTGCCTACGATTTTTTCGCTGATCGATACCGTCAACCGAATATTTTATGGACCAATCTGTATAGAAATTCTAACATGATTGCCTATAATCCATATGACAAACTAATTTATATATACGATCATGGATACCTGTTAGCGAGCCATACAAAAATTAAATGGCGTTCTTAGTGGGACATTTACAAAATTAGAAAATAATCTTTATCAGACTCTTTCTATAATCTTCTTTCTGTATCTTGATTTGAAAAAAAAACTTAAATTTTAACATTTGTTAAGAGAGCGTTGTTCAGACAGAAGAAAGAAGTTGGACTTTTAGACAACATTTGCCTAGACAATATTTTCACGTAATCATTGGTGATGCCTGTTCTTTCTCTGATCTTTTTCGTCTTTTTTTTCTTCCAACAAAAAAAAGGTGATAATTGACGGTTGGGTTACTGTTAGAAAATATTTGGTTTATGTAGAGTAAAAATAAATAAATCATTTATAACAGTGGCATTAATTTGGTTGATTCAATGCCAAAGTAAGATTACAGATTATGTGACAAAAAAAGAAAAAAAAAAAACAATAATTTGTTGTGTTTTACTTTTTTAAGTTTGTTTGCAATTTGTTCACTTATTCTTAAAATATTAATGGTATCTTAATTAATGTGATTAAGTGTAGCCGGTTTTGGCGATAACTAAGCGTTTCCAAACGTCTCTTAAACAATTTTAAAAGTTTACTGTAGATATGACTGAAGTTTTGAAGATTTATCAAATTGTAATTTATGTTGGTTTTAGAGTATAAAGTTCCAATTGATTCTTATGCTTTTTACTTCCCTAAACATCATTGCTATCAATTCCATTGAATTAGAAGTGTGCCAAATTGAACAAAAAAAATGTATAGATGTAAGCTAAAGAAAAAATGATTTTTTTTCTCTATAAATTTACATAAAAGCATATATAAAAGTAAAATGCAAAAAAATATATTTTTTTTTTCCATAACTTGACATCGGCAATTTCCAATACCGAAAAAAAAAAAAAAAAAAAAAAGAAGAATGTATGTATTTATTTGGTCAATGTTTTGAAAAACATACCGTCGACAGTCGGCTTTTCGCAGTTGTTGATAGAGTGAATGCCTTTTGATTGACACATTTGTTTACTTTGATCAAATAATCCAATGACACGCATAATTGAAAAACGAATACCAACAACAGAGCAAAGCAAAGCAAAGCCTGCAAAAAAAAAAATATTAATTGAAAATAATAAATTAAAATAGAAAGAAAATTTATACAGAAATAAAAAAATTAAAAAAAATTTTAAACAAAGAAACTTTGCATATAAATGCTCAACTGTTTTATTTGTTTAACTGAGAATTACTAAACAAAATTTTTATTCACCATATGCAGACAAATTTTAACGCCTTAAACTTTATGCTGTTTTTTAACGTTCTATTTTTGTATTGAAAATGAGAAAGAAAATAAAGAAACAAAATAAGCAGATATATTATTTTTGTTGCATAACTGTTTGACGAACTTTAAACCAGTCTAACATATATATTAGGTTTAGTCAGCCAGAAGAAACTAGTGAAAGGCTATCGCCAAAGCCAAACAGATGCCTTTTCCAAATGCATTAACCAATAGGAAGGCGTCATAAATAAAATTTAATGGCAACCATCAGAGGAAGCTAAGCGAACGCTACTGTATAATGAATATGTGCATAAGTATTAACGTATCATCCATAAGTGTACATCTGAATTGTAAGCATTATTACAGCTGGTATAGTACTATAAATTTTAACAATTCAATTCTTTTACAACCACACAATGAAAAACATTTTCTATACAACCAAACTTCCCCCTTACACTTCAGTCCCCTGTTGAAAAAAAAAAAAAAAAAAAA